GACGGTATCCTGGGTTAACTTTGATTATAGAAGAGTTTCCCGTCACCTCACTCGCATGACGAAACGCAATAATATAATAATTCCACTTGACGCCGCTCTATTTTTTTATTTTTTTATTTTAACAAAGTAACTCTACAGACTCGTGGTCCGTACTCTTTTTTTGGTTAACATGATTTTTTTTTTAATTTTCTTTTTGGTCTGTCACCGCCGCGTACATCAACCGGGCTGGTAGCGGTGCAGCAGTGAGTTCATATATATATATATATATATATATATATATTTTTTTTTTTTTTTTTTATATTTTATATATATGACGCCGCTCTTTTAAATGACTCTGGACCTTAGCAACGTGCAGCAAAGTTACACGGTAAAACAAAGTTTTTGCCAAAATATGTACAACGTGTTCCGTATAACGTAATTCTGAAAATATTCCGTTTATATTTGGGATCATGGATCTCGACGAAATCTCCGATAAATACGATTGTGTTACATATAAGCTTCCGGTTCTTATTTAAGATGCGAATATTATATTACACTCTAAGCAGGAAATATCTTATCGTAGATACGAATATTTAGGGACCCTCTAAGCAGGAAATAGTAAGATTAAGTTATTATACATCCGCACCTTTCGTACTTCACACAAATCGATTCTGCTATAAACTGAAGAGGTAACACATACAAAAACATTTGTAATGATAGTAACATGACTGGGTCTCGGTAGTTGCTAAGCTATTGGATTCGTTGGTAGTGGCTTCGATCCCCATATTTGTACGAACAACAAGTATTTTTACGAACCACAGGTAGGGTTGACGTCAAGCAGATAAATAAATAAAATGTTTGTAATATTAGTTTTATTTACATCCGCAAAACTGAAAGAGGTAACACATACAAAAAACATTTGTAATGATAGTAACATGACTGGGTCTCGGTAGTTGCTAAGCTATTGGATTCGTTGGTAGTGGCTTCGATCCCCATATTTGTACGAACAACAAGTATTTTTACGAACCACAGGTAGGGTTGACGTCAAGCAGATAAATAAAATTGGAGTGTCTGTTTGTAATATTATAATTACCGCTTTTGTACAATTACAAAATGTATATGAATCATTCACATCATACACGGTACATATACCAGAATTTATATTTTATATTATTTATATATTTTTTTTTTATTTTTGTCTTCCTGTGTGTTCATTCCGGCTAATCTCTGAAACGGCTGGACCGATTTTGGCGGGACTTTCACTGGCAGATAGCTGATTTATTAAGGAGTAACTAAGAATATTTATTTTTATTAATATTTCACGTGGACGAAGTCGCGCGCACAGCTAGTTAAAATATGATTCAGATGTTGTGCCGACCCCACAAACGCTAGCAGTATCATGAAGTCTTTCAGTAGTGGGTCGCTCGGGTATAGATAGATTTATTTTTATCGATAATGGGATCCCAAGCAAACGGTAGAACCCACCATCTTCTGTATTGAAAGCATGTTTATTTGTCCATTTAAATAGCGCAGTAGGTATGTACTACAAATAACAAAATTAAACCGCCGATAACGAAATAACAAAACCAATGGTGGGTCGTTTAGAACCAACCATTGTAGATAAAAAATGACATTAAAATTATCTGACGTCCGACCAACGTACTCAGTAAACAATTTATAAATGGGCGCTCTAAATGCTGTCAAAAAATCCAATAGATTTCTATCTATTGATGGAACCTTTTACATAATTCATTGTTTTGTTGGAGCCGATGTTAAAATTGGAAAGCGAAATACTTATAACAAATACATTTTATTGACAAAAAAACCGGCCAAGTGCGAGTCGGACTCGCGTACGATGGGTTCCGTACCATTACATAGCAATAAAACCAATTCTGTGGTATGAGAGCCTCACTTAAATATATTTTTATTGTTTTTTTAGTATTTGTTGTTATAGCGGCAACAGAAATACATCATCTGTAAATTTCAACTGTCTAAATATCACGGTTCATAATATACAGCCTGGTGACAGATACAGACAGACAGGTAGCGCATTCTTAGTAATAGGGTCCCGTTTTACCCTTGAGGTACGATACCCTAAAAATAAAATCGACTTCAAATATCGCTTTTTCTATTTGATTTTGTTCAATAATGTATCTCTGGAACCCAGGGTTCGAATATCAATTAAATTAGTATCGGACTTCAGTCATCAAGATCAATTATCTAATTCGGTTCATAAACGACGGAGTTCTCAAGTAAAAAAAAAACTGCAATGGAATTAAACTTCTACATTTCCGAAGTCGGTCGGTTGGCGGTAGGGCCACGCGTAGTTTTCGTTCCGTCCGGGGAAGTACCACGACCTCACAGAAGACCGCCGTGAAGTGAAAGTGATATATTTCCGCGCATCGTCTGGTGAGTGAGGTAGTCGGCGCCCACTTTATTGTAAGGTGGCAACGTATTTGCGACCCTACGGGCGTTGCAAATGTCAAAGAGCGGCGGTTATGACTTAACATTTTTATCCTTACATTAAAAAAATGTGTTTTACACTTTATCTCCTAAAATTTAAAAAAAAATGAGGCATACTACCATTGCATAATACTCTATACTTAACAATATTATGTTTGAATGTTATTATAACAGAAAAAAAAATCATTACAAAAATGATTTTTTTTTTCTGTTATAAAAACATTCTAAACTTATTAATACGAACAAGATATTTGGCAAAGTTCACTAGACTATTGAAATAAAAGAACCTTTTCAATAAACAGTTCAAATTCAAATTCAAAATAACTTTATTCAAATAGACGCTTGGGCGTTTTTATTAAACGTAGAATTTTACATAAATAATTGATACATAAGTCCGTAAGCTACCACGGCCACCAAGTCAGTACGGCTATTTATCGATTGATGTTTGTTTCAGTCCGTATACTATACATAGCTTAACCGGGCACAGAACAAGTAAAGCTAGATTTCCACAGGTTTGTTAGACCCTACCTAAGAAGAGACATGCATGTTAACATGCATGCATTAATGCATGAAATGCAAGGGTTCTGTCCGCTTCTTGTATCTTGTATTAACTGATGTTTTTGCTTTCAGTCCCGAGACTATTAAAGCTTCATCTGACGCTGAACCGGTGGGCTAGCCAGAAACCACGGGTTTTGGGGGGGGGGGGGGGGGGTTCGGTCCGCTACTACTGGCTTGATGTCCCCAAATTAATTACATATGTGTGCTTTTAATTACGGAACCCTATTTAGCCTATTCTGCCCCTCCCCCCGCATAAAGTTTTTATCACTACCGGTCACTCTCACCGCAGGCTGCGAGTCCGTTGACCCCAGGGCCGGTGACCACATCATAGATAACTCCTTATCTATACGACTCGTCCTATTTACGTTACAAATAGTCGAACGCTTAACGACGCCAGTAATATTGATGCACAGTCAGTTATGGCTCAGCGGCTGGGTTAACGAGCTTGCCGTTTTAAGGTCGCGTGTTCGTATCTCGGTGGTAAAAACCTCAACACGTCGATAAGTTTACGACCCGCCACGTTTGTGATAAAAAAAATACTCGGTTATATAAGATAGTGTTTGTCTGTCTACTCCCATTGGGTTGATAGATAGGCTATCGGTGTTAATGATATATATAAATGTGCGTAGTATAAATTCCTTTTTATATTTTGAGTAAAATTTTAAGGCGTAACGAAATTCATCGCAGTTTTAGGTTAATTAACATTATTTATTATAATCTACGTATTAACGTTATAAAATTACAAGGAGTTTACGCAAAATAATAAAAATAAAGAAGTATAAAATGGAATAAAAAAAAAGGTTTTAGCAATTTCAACGCTTCGCACAACAGCCTCTTTAGCTCAGTGGTAGAGCACTGGTCTCGTAAACCAGGGGTCGTGAGTTCAAACCTCACAGGAGGCAAATTTAAAAACTAGCCTTTTTATTTACTTTTCTAATACTTTAAAAGTTTCCTTTTATTATCCACTAAATTTGAAAGTTTTGCCAGTTATAGAAAAAATCTTGCTTCAGTATTTAAAAAGATGTCTGTATATTTGTGTTAATAATTTGATTTGGAAAGCTGCATTCATATACACAAAATTAGTTAATGTTCAGTACTTATAGATGATAACTAGGTGTTATGTTTAAAAAATTCTTATGAAAAGAGTCATAATTAATTGTTTTACACTTTCAATATTTGCTGAAAAATCAAAACGTTAAAGAATTTATTAACACATCTAAGTCGTTAAGATAGGTTTTTTTAAAATATCGGTGTCATAACATACTTGCATAAAACATTTTGTAAAAAAATACAATATAGAATACAATGCATATTCAAAAAACGTTCCTGTATTCGCGCAAAATAATTTTTATATTTTTGTTAACTTTAAATGTCTTATTACGGTAAGAAATTATTTACATTGTAAGGAAAAGAAACTGACGAACAATTTTTTTTATTTAATTATATTTCAATTAATGTAATAAAAATAACAATAATTGAAAGTAAATTAAAATAGAAAATAAATAAAAATTACTATTAATGTAATGATTACTAAAATTACTATTAATGTGTACATTAATTGAAAGAAAATAAATGTAAGATACACAGTCAGTTGCTTTAGTTATGTTATTTTTAGCAGTGGTTACAGTAAAAAGCAAATAACTTCATAACATTTTTAATATTCTTACTATTCAATACACATGGCAAGCGAGAAATTCTAATAACTGCATATTTTCAAATTATATTTTAAAAAGAAATGTTCTCATTAAAACTAAACTCAAATATATCGTATAACATTTGAATTTTGAAACAGAAAACGCGCGATGCAATAAACACTTCCGTTTGTTTCAGATTGCGGAGATGAACTGAGATGTCACTGAGCTTCTTTGAACAAGAGAAAAACGAGATCTCGGCGAACTAACTGCTAACCTAGAATAACTTTAAGAGGAAAACGAGAGAAGAACGAGATCTCAGCAAACTAACAGCTATCTTAGAATAACTTTAAAAGGAAAGAACTAACAATGCTGCGATACTGGCTTTGTTTCGCCAGCGCGGTCTACCTCGCGGGCCACTGCGGTGCCAACTACTGCAGGGACGCCAACCTCTGCTGTCCAGGGCGGGACAGCTCCTGCGTGGTGCAGAAGGCGCATCAGAACGCGATCATAGACGATATAAGCGACAAGCCGTGCTACTGCGACCACGCGTGCCTTAAACTCGGGGACTGCTGTCCCGACTTCAGGGAGACTTGTGGTGGTAAGTTCGTAGTTCCGCAGAGGACATGCTGACCTTATCTTACTCTTTGACGATAGTTCCGCAGACGACAGCAACATTAACTCAGTCTTTGACTCTGACCCCTGCTGAATGCTTAGCTTAAGTAGGTGTTCCTAGTGGTCCCGTTCCCGTTGGTCCCACTGTAATAACTAGTGTGATTCCAAGGACCCACTTAATGGAATTGTAACGAATGCCAAGATTTGAAAGAGAAATTAGATTAAAAAAAACCTCTCAGAAGATAAGATAGAATTTTAGTAACAAAGTGTATTCAACACGAGTTTTATTTTGAAGATGCCTCCCACTTGATGTTTGACTCAATGGCTGGGTTGGTAAAGGTAAACAATAAGGTTGACAAATATTTGTGTGACCCATATATATAATTATTCCGTACAGCCCATGTATATATGAGTTATTGCAGTCATGTTAGCTTACATTCGTGAACACGTGTTTCTTTTTTATAGAATACAGATAGAAGAATAATAGTACTGATACGAGAAATAATATTTCGTTTATGAAGTTCAATGTCTCGTCCACACGTAATATTTAATAAATCTGATGGAAAATGTTTTTGGGTACTGCTTACAATAATGTTGCCAAATTATATTACGAAAAATTCTCTGGAAGAAAAAAAGCAATGTAATATTTCGCATTTGACAAACGCACACAAGGCCTGGGCATACCGGCACCGCCACCCTTATTTTACCGCTCCCCTAATGTTCAAACGTTCTCGTATGACATCTTAATGCCTCCACACATGTCTGGTAGACGTTGCTTGCTAATTTTATTTTATTTCCTGCCATTAATTTTAAAAAAGGACTTTAATCTTGACACATTACAACAATCCCATCGTGGTAACAACGTAACTAGAACTTGTAGACACGATTATTTCTAAAAAAAGGACTTTATTCTTTACGCATTATAACTATGTATAATCTCATCGTGTTGATAAACTAACTAGAAAAACAGATTCAATGTATACATGAATCAATTTTAACCACCTCCATTCCTTATTATATCGATCCTATATAGCATCCTGACATGTCAGGACTTCCAAGGACTTTAGCAAACTCCACTCCTTAAATACAAATTATTTAAAGTCGGAGAGCAGTTATTTTGATTTGTCATCTAATGTTGACATTCTATGTAGTCTATCCAAGGATGTTACAAAATATTGACTTGAAATTTGGCATACCATACGTTTTTACTGCGACAATATTCATTTCATTATTCTTTCAAATTGCTATATATTTCTGCTTGATATTAAACGCTAAAAATACTTTGATGTTCACAAGATCAAAAAAAAAGATGATCACAAGAAAAGAAAAAAGTCTGCTTACAATAATTTATCACTCTCGGGTCGAGATCATAAAAATAATTTTAAAATCTTTCATTCTTCAAGAATCACAAATGGAATAGAAATATCCTCAGAGTAAGACGGTGATGATGATAAAGCTAACTTACTAGTTCACCTTACAAAACCCAACTTGTTTAAATCGCCTTCAACCACCACTAAACATCACTAGCATAATCCAGAGAAATTAAACGGCTTAGAGTCTGAATACTTTTATCTCTTTGTCAATAAATACATACATAAATACATACATACATACGTACATATATACATACATGCATGCATACATACATACATACATACATATGTACATACATACAATAATGATACACGATAACAAAATAGATGGATTGGAAAGATGTAAGTCATCTAGATGCATAGGATTAAGCGCTTGCAAACTCTTCTCCACTTATAATTTGGCCCCGACCCGCACGAATGCTGGCTTGCAAAAAGAGCTGATTAATATTCCACTCGGCTTCTGTGCTCGGTTGCGCTGAGCGTCTGGACGCCTTTACGGGAACTGTATTCACTTTTACGTCTATTTTTGTAACACGCTCGTGCACTTAAAAGCCTCGCCCTTAAATACGACTGCGTACTTTGGTCTTGATCAGAAAATTTTTAAACCCGTATGAACTGAAAAGCGTTTATTAAGCGTTCATTAGTGCAAAATCTTCCGTGGACACAATTCCGCCCTAAGAAATTTGAAAGACAGCGAGTTGTTGGTGTCCTAGGATTATAAACTCATCAATGCTGACTATGTAAAGATAATATCTTTTGATATTATTAATTTATGTAATGCAATCGTCTCTTTTATATCGTGTAAACTTTAAAAGAAAATTTTGTAGTAAAATTAATTCAAAGTATTATAAGCACAAATGTACAAAAATTTTCGTATCAACCGTTTCCAGCATTGAGTCAAGGTCGATGGTAGCATTTTCTGTTTGAATTAAAAAAAATATTTTAAGAACACCAACATTAAAAAAAAAGCTTACGACCTAATACAAATTGCGATCTTCAGTCAAGTCATTCGCAGAATGGCAAAAATAAAACCTATAAATTCGAAACATGACTGAACCCTTCATTAATGTTTGTAATTGCTCGGCAAAATGGTAATTAACTTGACTATAATTTACTCCACCATCGAGCACTTTAATTGTTCCTACAACATAGATGTCGACTATGAGTTTAAACGCCCCTCACAATAATCGTAGAATTCTATTCGTAGTATTCTATTATTTGTCATCTACACATCTATACAGTTCATAAAATTGGAGTGTCTGTTTGTATTATTAAAAAACCGCTTTTTTACTACATGCGTATATACTGTATATATACGAAGATAACATTTTATTTACAGATTTTGTCTGTCTGTCTTTCTGTTTGTTCCTGCTAATCTCTGAAATAGTTGGACCGATTTGGACGGGACTTTCACAGGCAGATAGCTGTTGTAATAAGGAGTAACTAAGGCTACTTTTATCTTAGAAATTTTATTTATTTTAAATTCCACGCGGACGGAGTCACGGGCACAGCTAGTAAATATTAAAGTGAAAGTAAAAGTTACTTTATTGTACACCGAGAGGTGATATATATATCCCGCCTTCACCAAAAATATACATATTTAATTTTACGGATACATCTACTATCGTTTTTAATGCCGCGTAGAATGGTACTAAGGTTTACGAACAAAACGTTAAGAAAAGTGATATTAAACTGCGATTTTTTAAATAAAATTATTGAAATAATTTATTTTAAATATTGCTTTAATCCTCTGAGAAATCTTTAAATCCGACATAGCTCAGAAGATTAGCCAGCTGAAGTGGCGATGGGCTGCCCATATAGCTCGTAGAACCGATAACCGATAATTGGGGAAGAAAGGTTCTCGAGTGGCAGCCTCGTACTGGCCATCGCAGTGTAGGACGACCCCCCACTAGATGGAGTGACGACCTGTGCAAATGTGCGGGAAGTCGATGGATGCAGGTGGCTCAGAATCGTACTTCATGGCAGTCTGTGGGGGAGGCCTATGTTCAGCAGTGGACTCAAACAGGCTGAAATGATGATGATGATGATTGCTTTAATTAAAATATTTACGTCACTGTAGGTTCACATAAAAAGGTGACGTCCGAATACTTCATACCTTGAACAAAGGCAGCTTGATACATCAACATATATTGAGCAATTAGCATAGGTCATACATATCATTCCAGTCTAAAGTAACATAGAAGTCGTAAATGTTACTATGTGACTTATAGTTACTCGTAACAGTAACTAATTACTTAACCTCATTACACCTCAAACGTCAACATCATAGCTACATCGGTATACGTTGTCAAAGACCTTCTTAAGCAATTATAAATGTCGATTAAACTTACCGAAATTCAACTTGAAGCTATAGATTTGACTATCACAATTAGTTGTGATCTGCACGCGTCGCACTCCAGCCTAACACTAAGGCGTATTTCAGTGACGGACTGCGTGGTGTCTGAGTGGGGACCTTGGTCGGAGTGCGACACCAACTGCGGCTCCGGCAGCATGGAGCGGAGCCGCCGGATAGTCCAGGCGCCCGCCCACGGAGGCAGGCACTGCCCGTCGCTGGTGCAACGCCGCGCCTGCCAGGCGCACCAGGGCTGCGCGCCCGACAGCGATATACCGTTGCGAGGTGAGGACTACTTGGCTAGGCAGCATCACCACACAATTCGCGATACGGTAAAACAACCCTAAAGAACATACAATCAACAGCAACTTGTGAAACGGAACGGTGAGAACATTTCGAGCTATCGGCTAGACTGATTGGCACTACCATCCTTGGTCCAGAAGAGTGATAGGAGCGACGCCATCCTCCGAAACTGTTAGTTAGTCCTTTCGCGAAAAAAATTAAACAATGGGCCTTGATTGGCTGGCAGTAAAACATTTCGTAGATCGTAGGGTATACAAATAATATTAATATGAAAATCCATGGGATCTAAACCGAATCCATAGCAAAAATATTTTTAATGATTCATAAAAGAAGTGATCCGGGGTAACGATCATAAATACTACCCTAACCCCTAAACTTTTTTTTGTATCGTGCGAGAAATCTTCAAAAGATACCCATCACCTTACATGACAGGGTTATGTGAAGTTCTTAACCCACTAAAACCCCCTCGGCGGCCACCCTATGTACGTTTGGAGGGACTCCGGGATCTCCCACGGAACGCACCGGTGTCCCTCGGTACTGCGCGTGAGCACGCCTCGGAGAAGGATAGATCTTCACCGATTCCCTCACCAGCTTGCAGCAGCTCGAGACCACTTCAAGCTGCTGCCAATCAGTGTCCCCTTTTAGTCGCCTTTTACGACAGGCAGGGAATACTTTAGCCCTATTCTATAAGCCCGCGAGTACAGCGCTGACCCTAACCCCTAACCTACAGCTGAATTGGCAACTTCCTCTTTTTCGTAGCCGGTTAAAAATCAATTCTATTCACAGAGGAATCTGCAATGATCCTGCCCGGCTCCCTGTCTGTCAGTCGCCACTCCAACGAGACAGTGGACATCAGGAAGAACTTAAGGCTGCGAAACCCTGACGACCCCGAGTCAAATTCGCATAGAGAGTGAGTCCGCATTCAAATTTTGTGTCTAACCAAAACCATCACAGCTAGCCAGCGATTAAACATAAGTCTTAGGGTTCCGTACCCGAAGGGTAAGACGATAGCCGCTGTCTGTTTGTCCGTCCATCTGTCACCAGAACCGTGATAGTTAGATAGTTTTTACAGATGATGTATTCCCGTTGTCGCTATAACGAAAAATACTAAAAAAACATTTAAGTTTTCATAGATAATGGTAAGGAACCCTTCGTGCGCGATTCCTACTCGCACTTTACCGGTTTTTATTAATTAGCTACAGTTGAACAACAATTAACTTACAATATAATCTTAAAAATATTATGATTTACAACAGATGCAGCGAAAGAGATTCTTTATAAAAATTCAAATCGATAAATGATACACAATTCGCTGAGCAATATCGCTGATCGTTATATCGCATTTACTGGAATATAATCAGTCTTTTTTTCTGATAAAATATAGCCTAATTTCAAATGTACTGACGTTCGCATCATTTCAGATACTGCGTGCAATTTGAGGTCAGCAAGGTGTCGAAGGCATGCCATATCGATTCAGATTACAAGGCTCTCCGCGAAGGTTAGTGCTGATATACGATGGTATTCGAAAGCCATCGCCATTTTATTGCCCCATTAAAGTGATATATTACTTGATTATAGGTGATATGTGAGAGCATTTGTCATTCCAGAGAAGTATAAGAGGCCCGTAGACGTTTCTTTGCTCTTAACATATAGTACTTGCCTTAGTTTTTTGTTTATTTGATTTCGATTTCAATTATTAGAAAAGAAACCTTTTTCTACTAGCAATAATGTGTTTGTGAGTAAAAAGTTACAGTCTGTCTGACTTGAATACAATCACCCAACAGTGGTCATTGGGATTTACCACCCAACCTCTTCCACACATAATTATCATCATTATCCAGGATCCGTAACTGGACAAATGATGACAGAGGCCATAAGCCACTATAAGCCTAGAACAAGTGCTGAATTAATAAACTGGTAAAAAAACGCACATACGTTCGTACTAACTAGTCCTCTTGGTAGAATACTGGTTAAAGTACATACATGGACAACATTGCACAGAAGTTAGTTACATAACCTATATAAGAACTAAGTTATGTTTTTCAAACTTTCAACTGTAACTACATTAGTTTTACAAAGAGTTTTAAATATTTCTGTCCGCCTATGACAATGAAATAATCAGAGCATTACTCTGCTCTCAATGTGGAAAGATTTTTTTTCACCATAACTTATAGTTAAGTGATAACCGCCGCCCATTAGGTTAGGCCAAACACCCGTAAGGTTGCGTTAAAGATGCGTTGCCACCTTATAATAAAGTGGGACCCGGCTACTTCACTCACCAGACGAAACGCAGACTGTTGCGCGACAACTACAATTAAATGATGACAACTTAAAAGGAATCAATTCGTCACCTTCTTCTTGATTAGCCGTAGTTTTTATACCAGAATGATGACGTCATCATTCATCATTTCAGCCTGTTTGTGTCCACTGCTGAACATAGGCCTCCGCCACAGACTGCCACGAAGCGCGACCCTGAGCCACCTGCATCCATCGACTTCCCGCACACTTGCACAGGTCACTCCATCTAGTGGCGGGTCGTCCCACACTGCGATGGCCAGTACGATGATGACGTAATGTTAACTATTCACAGGTGGCACAGTGTGCGTAATGTGTGAGGCGGCGGCGCTACGGCGCGACCTCAAGTGGCGCTGCGGCGGCCACGGCGTGCCCGGCCACGCTACGAGGTTCTACGCGCTCGTAGCACCCCACTGCCACGGCAAATGGATTCGAACCCAGCACAACCTCGACAAGAAGGGCGACTGCTGCGCCAGCCCCGACTTCATTTTCGTCTAGACCGCTCATAAGGATCCCTATTTCGCTATTGGATCGCTCCACCCAATCAAACGATACCAGTCTCCTTAAATATTAATAATAGTCGGTAAACTTTAGGAGTATTATCCAATTTACATTGTTCGTAGCTTCGAAGAACACGTCATCTTCCCAACAGACCCAACGAATATATTTCCATTTTGTATATTGTTACTCGTAGTTATTTCGAAGTTGTGATAATGTTCGAATGATTTGACAGCGTTGCTCGACGCAACGCAAGTAATTTAAGTAAGGGTAAAGTTTGTATTGAATAAGAATTACACCGTGAACACAAACTCGTAAGACTAGCATTTGAAGCAAGCAAAATTTTCTCATAAAGTAGTTGTCACAATAAATTCATATAAATTACTTACTTAACATTTTCTTGCTATGAAATAAGAAATTGTAAATGTTCACGAGAAGTATATATTTAACGGTGTAAGAATGTTGTAACTGTTTTTATTATTACTTTGTACCTATTTTCAGCTACTGAATTATTAAAATATGTAATATCATAAAATTGCACCAATAATCAAAAATAAAATAACTTTTGCTTATTGTAACACAAACACTTTAAATTAACCGTGTCGTATAGTCGACAAATAAGTCTTTTGTTAGGCAGTAACGTGCATCGATATATATTGGGATTTGCTCCCAATAAAACTTACCTTAATCGTGACTTGGTTAGAATTGATAATAAAACACATATTATCATAGGATTTTCAAGATTTGGTTTTTTAATCGCTAGAAAATGACACGTGGTTCAGGCGAAGTTAAGCGATTTCGACCGACCATGGACATGTATGAAATTCCGCCAATTACCTTGTTTGAATTATTCTGGCATAACAATAGACAGCTTGATGATTCATCAACGTATTTAACAAATGCTATCATCTTTAAGATCAGAAAAATCAGATTCAAATCATCATCACTATCCTCCCGCCCTTATCCCACCTAGGTGGGGGAAGGCAAGTAAGCGGTTTCGGATATGTTTATTACGACCGGCCGCAAGCCTGACGTCAACTCCCCTTGAGTAATAAACACCCATATCCGGAACAATTATCTGTGGTTCACACAAATACCTGTTCCATGTGGGAATCGAACCCACGACGCTCGACGCTGAAGCCAATAGCTTTGCAATAGCGTCATCACTAAATCATCGGGTCATCACTAAAATCACTCAAATCAAAAGTAGGATTAACGTTAAAAAATAGACGTAGCTGCAAAAGAAACATAATATGTAGCTTAATAGTTTTGCTTTTGAGGGATTTGAGTCACACAAATCACTCACTCTCCTTTTACTTGCACGTAAATTTATTGAAGTCTCATTTTACATTACTTAACATTAACTTTAACGAAATGGAGACTGAAGAATGTCTACGGTAATAAATACAACAGCGTCACATCCCTTGCGTCACAGTTTCTATCAATAACAAGTAGTTAGACTACACGAGGGCGTTGCGTTAGATGATTATTATTTAGCATTTATCTCGTTTCAATTACACCACAGTAATTGGAAGACGTACTAACTATGTCACCTGAATTGTATACAGCAATAAGTTAATTAGGACCTAAGCTTATTTTCAAATAAATGCCCACTGTCGTTCCTCGACTGCCAATAATACTTTTCAATTAATATATAAGGGGGACATCGGCTATCCTTGTCTGTCTAAGAAATCTAATTGTCTTTCTCTGTCTGAATATAAGTGAGAGCAACATTGTCGCGTACCTTTAATTGTAATTTTGAATTGACCAATTTGAAGACATAAATGGTCCAAATAATCTTCAGCTTACTGTTTCCCTTTGGGAATGAGACATTATTAATAAGATTGAATTTAGCTCCGATATGACTATTGCCCTCTCTTCACAGAGATATCAGACTCCAGTGTAATTTTTAGTGATATTTATAATAATGTAACGATTAATTATAATTTAATGACAATTAATTTTAATGACGTTTCTTTCGTAACTAACATAATATAATGTAATGATGACGGAATAATGTTCGATCAAAACTAATTTGTGAATACATATCCGATTGTAACTCGTGTAAATAAATAAAAATGTTATCACAGTGTGTTTATGTTTAACTGCCCATTAAAACTTAGTTAAATGAGGACACACTCTGGAAATTAATTCATCACTCCAGGCTCTATCAAGTGGACTTTAATACATTTACACCCAGCTTATGAAACACTGATCAATTGTTGGCAAATCAAATAACATATGAAAATCCATTTGATAGCTGATTAGTTGACTTTACCCTACCAACCAGGACAACATGTGCTAAACGTTTTGGTGTATATCTATTTCCTTTTATTTATAATAAATTAGTCAACTTAGGAAATCTAAAGTATTGCAACCTGAAAATTTTTAAATCTTCATTAACGGAGATTCTTTTAAAATGGTCATATAATGAATCTGAAAGCGTAATGTCGACAGCCTACTGAAATTGGTTAATCTTCAAACACACACACACTAAAATGGCCATTGGATGAAAATATAGGCCGTTTCTTATCTCTCTTGTTATTCTAATAAATACAAGGATTAAATACATATTCGCGGCAGAACTCGGCAAATACAAAACAGCGGACGGCAAAAAGGGAGACATTTCTTTCATATCTCATAGTGCTTCTGTCTGGGTGTCGTCAATTATTTCATTGTGACGTAGCAATGAAACGTCAGCTCCGCTGAGTATGCAATCGTTTTTATTAAATGTCATACCGCGTTTGTTGCGTGTATAAAACCGTTCGTTATTTACATTATTTGGAAAGTTTCTAAGCATTATATGAGACTAGCTTTTAACTAAATGAATCTATTTTAAATATATACGCATACTATACCTCTTTCTCAGATGTTATTTTAATATTCTAATTAGGTTTCCTCAGTAATTCTTACTAGCCAGAAGCACAATAATTATAGTTTTTTTAGAAACCCACCATAGATATACGGTGATTAAGGTCGAAATTGCATAATTTATTACACCGTAGATACACGATGCCTTCTTATTTTGTTTTTATCTCGTGGTGGATTATTTATCACATATCAAAAATACTTTACAATGACTTATTTAAAAAAAAAAAAAAACAAACTAAATCTACAGCCTGTACATGTACCATTGCTGGGCAAAAGCCTCTATTCGTATTACTCCAATACAAATATCGGTACGACTTCAAATAATACTTCACAAGCTATGCAAGTCTTGTCTTGTTCAGTCTAGAGACTTTGTAAAGCTTCATCTAATACCGAATGCCTAGAAAAGCTGGTTTGCTCGAGTTGAAATTTATGTTTGCTAGTGTTAAATTTTACCGAAATTACACAAACATTTATCTTTTGTCATATTATCACGTGCTCAGCGGTGAAGGAAAACATCGTGAGGACACCCGCATATTTGAAGTTGAAGCCCATAAATAAATATCTTTCTTTAAAATAATTTCAAATTAAAAAATAGCCTATGTCCTTTCTCAGGCTCTAGACCATCTGTGTACCTTATTTCATTTAAATCGGTTCAGTAGTTTTGGCGTGAAAGCGAGATGGACAGACAGATAGAGTTACTTTCGCATTTATAATATTAGTATGGATGAATGAATTATGGCACTGAGCGACCACTAGTTTTATTTATTACTTGACTTTACTTAGGATAACATAGCCCTGTGTGCCTTTCAGATTCACTAATTGCGCTAAGATCAGATCCTAAACAATTATATTAACTACTTATTTCTTGTGTTAAATAAACGTGGGAATCGAAATTGGCAACGTTTGAATTAACTAAAAACTATCCTAAAGAAAAGTCAATGAGTGTATTATTGGTTAATCTTCATATGTAAACGAAAAGTAGTGTATTTTCTTTGTAATTTCGCGTTGAATCCAAACATCTCCTTTTTGTATGCTCTACAAGCTCTCTACAGCTCTACAAGCGAAACTACTACCAATTGAACATTTCATTAAAACCTTTATACACTAAACCGAGTAGAGATTAACTGAGAAAGTGGTAACCATTAATGTAATTCAGTTTCTTTACAATCGGACACCACTCGCCAATCTTAGAATGGTTGAACGAATTCATTTACTAGATACGTGAAAAATACTATACTAGATCTCACTAATAATGCGTCACTAATAACTTAAGTGAATACCGCCGCCCATGGACATCTGCTACACCCGAGGGTTTGCAGATGCGTTGACAACCTTTTTGGAAATTGGGCTCTCTTGAATTGGGCTCAGTCTCTTTAAACTAAGTTTTAAAACGACATGTCTGTTAAATAAACAATATGGATATGACAGAGTATGATATTTATGCTTACATGCTTCAATATTCTCCGCTTTGTGGCAGTCTATAAAAGCTCAGAGTGGGGTAAAAAAGAAAAATTAATTCCACTTTGTTCCATCCTCGTTATGGTTCAGGGTTCGTTGAATATTTTGCTTTGTTAAAACGTTTCGGTTGTTCCTTTTTCAGTTTCCTTCAGTTCATTTCACACCGCATTTCGCCCGTCGAGGTACCTTTTCATTTGGCGTCACAAATAACCGACGAGTGGAGCAGAAACGATATGAGTAGATCGTTCACAAGACTTATTATCTTAATTTTTGACCCGACTGATTGATTGATTTTACAGACGACGAGAATTTTGTTAAAAACGATTTAACGATGAACAACATGTAGAAGGCACTTATGAGTATAGAAGATAATTATATACGTCTTTAAATTCGAAGAAATTATTTCATTATTTATTTAGCATAATTATTTTACGTTCACATCTCAACCGCTTTCTTAATACTTAACAATACCTTCCGAGCACGATGAACAGTAGTTTTGGCTTATAGAGAATATTGGCTGCACATCGTCACATAAAAATGCAACCCCTGTTTGTGCTTACTTTAAAGTCGTAACAACATTTAAAGATGCTTTTAAAATATATTTTTCATTTGGGTTATTTTCCACACTCATTCACAACCGAGTTGCCTAAAATTCAATCAAATTATTG